GTGTAAATGACCAGAGTACCTTGAGACAGTTGAAAGAAGAGCCTTCATCTGCTGGTCTTGGTTATGTCATGGAAGAGCCAGTTGTGGCTTCTGAATACGAAAGCGAATGAATTCATAGCTGCAACTTTAGGTTGAGGGGGTGGCAAGGGTTGTTGCTGGGTAGACAGAGGGAGGACGGAGGATGCAGGAGCTCTGCTCTCTGAATCATGCCTTCTTCCTTGGAAACCTGTCATTCACAAACCCAATTATGTACAGGTAGAATGTCAACTCTGACAGAATGAAACCAATGCACGCTTTGTATGATTGGGTTTTTTTTTTTTTTTAATGAAATCCTGCTTTACCAGCAGGTTCTATCTTCATAAATGTCTATTTAAAAAAGAAAAAAACCAAAACCAAATCACATATTTCCCCACGCTCTCCTGAAAAGCTTTAATCAATGTGTGGAAAGCGAGAGCTCTTGGGTGTTGTGTGCATTTTGCCAAGAGGGAGAGAAAGACGTGAGAATCAAGAGAAATCCTGTTGGCTTTACCTCTGACCCTCCGCGCCTTTCTCAGCATCTAGGCCTTGCCGTTGCTCATTTGTAAACAGGAGTTATTAAATTAGTCTCTCCAAAGGCTGTCATGGAAGCACTCAAAGGTTAAAAATTCTTTGCAAATAAAAATGCCTTGCCACAGCAGTGCTTGTTAATTATAAATGAGGAATGGAAGGCAGACAGCTGACAGGGAAAATACATAAGGTCCTGATGGTTTTGATTTACCTTTTTTTTGTTTGTTTCTTTTCCTCCTCCTTTTTTCCCTGTTTGGTTTTGATTTTTCTGAATGTGTTTGTTGTTGAACAAAAGTCTGCTCTCTGGTGGGAATGAGGTATGCCTTTCATAGAGTATTAATAGGGTTTGGGGGTCAGATGGATCCTACTTTGCATCTCTGTTCTTCTTTGTTTTCTTCCCTGGAAGGTGGAGGTGATAGTCCCTTTCTTGGAGGAGTGGTGTGCAAATCTGAGTTCACGGGTGTCAGGTAGAAGCAAGTCATAGAAGCAAGTCATTTTGCTCCTGTGTGCCCTCACCCAAGTCCTGCTTGCCCTCATTTTGCCTCACCATTCTAGTTTTGTGTTGCACTGAGCATCTTTCCTATACTACTTGATTGAATGATACGTTACTTTTTGTTGTTGTTTATTGTATGTTTCTCCCCCTCTGAGTATATAGATTCTGTGAGGGGAGGGATCTTTGTTGCTTTTGCTTGGGTATGACTAGTGTCTAGAGCAGTGCCTGGCAGATGGTAGGTAATTGGTGGTACTTGTGAAATGACTAAAGAGGACTCTTAGCCCTGTCCTCTTTCTCCTCTGTTCAGGCTTCTATTCAGTGAGACTCATTATGAATCTGGTTCTTTAATTCTGTTTTGCTTTTGTCTTTGTTCCTTCTTCTGGAGCTTCTGTTCATTAGACTGTGTCTGTCCAGCATTAAAAAGGATGCTCTTACTGGCCTTGCTGAATAAATGAGTTTCATTGATGAATATTATAGAGACTGAATTTAGAAAAAAAATCTACATTTTGTTCTAAAAATGTGACTTGTTGGTAAACCATTAGTCACCGAAGAGCTTCCTAGACTTGCTTAAACGTAGGGAGACTTTTTACCCTTAAGTCATACACTGATGTAAAAAGTTCTGGAGGGGAAAAAAAACCTTGACTGCTTCCCAAGACCCCTGACTTCTTTACAGTAGGTGATTAATTAACGAGTTACTCTTAAAATGAGCTCAAGCTATTTTTAAAAGCAACAGCCAAGATTTGGATAAAACTTCTCTGAGTTTGGAGATGCAAACCAGATCCCAGTGTGCATTCTCTTCGTGTATATATTCAGTCAGGTGAAAAGCAGGAAGTAGAAGAATCTGACAAGCCTCACTTGGCTGGACAAAACTGATTCTGTTTCTTCAAGTACATTTTGGTATCAAAATTCAGGCCATTAAAAGAATAGGGACCAAAAAAATACCCTGACTGATCATCTTAATAGATGCAAAAAAAAAAAGCATTTGACAAAATGTAACACCCTGTGTTGATTAAAAATTCTCAATGACTAGTATAGATGAAAACTTCTTCAACTTAATGAAGAAAAGTCACCAAAAAATCCCACAATTATCTAATACTTGATGGTGAAGGGTTGGTTGCTTTCCCTTATGGTCAGGAACAAGACAAAGAGCAGCTTAGACATTTGCACTTTAGGATCACTGGAGGACCTAGGCAAGGCAATAAGACAAGATAAAGAAAAAATAAGCATTAGATTGAAAAGAAAGGAATACAACAATCTGTATTCACAGATGACATGATCTTGTATATAGAAAGTCCTAAGGAATACACACATTCAAAAAATGGAAATAAATAGAAAGACATTCTTTGTTCATGGATTGGGAGACGTAATATTGTTAAGATAGCAGTACTCTCCAAATTAAAGATTCGCCACAGTGCCTGTCAAAATCCGAGCTTAAATTTTTTCAAAAAATGGCAAGATAACCCTAAAATTTATAATTTATAGTGCAGATGTTAGGGGCCCACAAAAGATCCAAAAAAAAATGTTTAAAAGAAGAAAGTTGGAGGACTCACACTATACAATTTCAAAACTTACTACAAAAGAGCAGTAATGAAGGCAGTATGGTACTAGCATAAGAAGAGAATATAGACCAAAATATGAAATGAAATTGAGGTGAGAGTCCAGAATAAATCCTTACATTTATGGCCAACTGATCTTTGACAAGGGTCAATGCAAGTGAGTTGAACGGTGCTGGGACACTTAGATAGCCGCATGAGGATGAAGTTGGATTCCTATTTCATACCATATATGAAAAGCACCTCAAAATGGGTCATAGGCCCATAAATAAGAACTAAAACCATAAAATTCTTCGATGAAAATGCAAGAGTAAATCTTATGACCTTAGGTTCCTTAAATATGATACCAAAAGCAGAAAGAACAACAGGGGGGTGGGAAATGGACTTCCTCAAAATAAAAAACTTAGGTGTTTCAAAGGACTTTATCATAAAGGGAAGACAGTCCATCAAATGAGAGAAAATTTTACAAAGCATATATCTGATAAGGACTTGTATCCAAAAAGTATATAAAGAATTCTTTCAACAATAAAAAGACAATTTTAAATGGACTAAAGATGTGAATAGACATTTCTCCAAATAAGACATAGAATCACATAAAAGGATGTGTAACATCATTAGTCATAAAGGAAGTACAAGTCAAAGCCTTGGGAAGACAGCACTTCACACCCACTAGGCAACAATCACAGAGAAAGACAGTGACAAGTGTGACAAAAATGTGGAGGAAATGGAACACTCATCTATTAATGGTGGGATTGTAAAAAGATGTAGATATTTTGAAAAACAGTTTGGCAGTTCCTCAAAATGTTAAACATAAAGTTACTGTATGATCTGGCAATTCCATTCCTAGGTAAATACCCAAGAGAATTGAAAACATACGGAGAACTTGCACATCAGTAGAGTAGCATTATTCAAAAACAGTGAAAAGTGGAAACAGTCCAAATGTCTACTGACTGATGAATGGATAAACAAAGTGTAGTATATCCATGTAATGGAGTATTATAATGCAGGAAATGAAAGATTGACATGTGCTTCTGCATGAGTTTATCTTGAAAACATCCTGCTATGTGTAAGAAGCCTGTATATAGTAAAATTCCATTTATGTATATGGTAAGACTATATGTAGTAAGATTCCATTTATGTGGAATTTCTAGAAATTTCCAGAACAAGTAAAACCTTAAAGACAGAAAATACATTAGTGGTTATCAGGGCCCCGGGGGAGGGGAGGGTGAGAAGTTACTGCTAATAATGCACTTGGAGTTTCTTTTGAGGGTGAAGAAGATGTTCTAAAATTCGATAATGGTGGTGCTTTCACATCTCTGTAAATATACTAAAAACCAGTGAATTGTACACTCTAAAATGCTGAGTTTTATGGTATGTGAATTATATCTTCACAAAGCTTTTGTCGAAAAATTCAGACACATGGGGATTAGAATTCTGGGCTGTCTCGTCACATTTATAAGGTGCTCCTGAAACTAATTCTAGAGGTCAGAGTGCAGGTAGAACAGCTTATTTTCTTAAAATCTTTTTCCTCCTTTACTTTTTTCCTCTCTTTTTACTTTTTATTTCACTGGTGGAAGCTAAAAGTGCCTTTGTGTTGCTGACATCAACGTTTTTATTGCTTCATCATTTTTGTAGCCATGGAAAAGGGAACAGATGGTAATCTTAAAAGAGAAATGTTCAATTTGGGGGAGAGAATTGTGTCTTTGGCTGCTATCTTTTGAAATAATTCACATGCATGATGCTCTTGTACATTAAAGAAACAGCTACCAATGTGGGGTAATTTAGGGTTTCTAATTAGAATTTCAAACCCACAAGGATCTTCAGTGGAGATGAAAATGTCTTTCCCAGGAGATCTTAGGGTCAGATTTGTTTCGTGGGGGAAAAAAAACTATTTTTACTCTTCTTAAAATCTCACCTGCAGTTATTTTTAAAACCACTTTCTTTTCCTAAGGTCTGGAAACCTTTTATAAAAATGGAATGTTGTCAGTATTGTTAAATCTCCTGGTAATATTTCTGGTCTGACTATGTATGGTATATATTTAATTACTATTCCAGTTGAGGAAATTGTGGTCATGGTGCATATCCAGTGTTCTACCTAGTAAAATAAAAGGTATTTTGACTTGCCTCTTGGGATACTGATTTAGAAGAGGTCGGTGTCCATGTTTAAATGTCCTTAGCATGCTTACCTGGTGGCCCCTGACTGTTTAGGGGCTTTTTGCAGGTACTCAGGGCCACGCCTTCTACAACAACAGGCGGGGTGTGGAACACTCCTTTAGATGCTTTTGCCAAAAGCCAGTTGCCAAGGAATGTGTTTATGGATTGGGATCCAAGGGCTGGTGAGTGGCAGGCCAAGTGAGAAAATGGTTTCTTTTGCCTTCCTCCTCACCTCCTGCCTTTGCTGCTTGCAGGAAGATCTGCCTGCACTGCAAGTGCCCTCAGGAGGAGCACATGGTGACGGTGATGCCCCTGGCGATGGAGAAGACAGTCAGCAAACTCATGTTTGACTTCCAGAGGAACTCGACCTCAGACGATGACTCAGGCTGTGCCCTGGAGGAGTACGCCTGGGTCCCGCCGGGACTGAAGCCTGAACAGGTACTATTCTTTCTCTTCTTCTTCTTCTTTTTTAAATATTTATGTATTTAGCTGCCCTGGGTCTCATTTGTGACTGTGAATTCTTTGTTGTGGCATATGGAATCTAGTTCTCTGAGCAAGGATTCTTTGGCTGCCTACACTGGGAGTGCAGAGTCTTAGCCTCAGGCCTCCTGAGGAAGTCCCAGAGGTACCAGTCTTGATGAAAGGGCAGATACGGGTTTGGCTTTTACCTTGGTTTCGGCTGTCCTTCCTCATTCCAGTTCAGAAGGAAGAGCTGACTGTGCTGAGTCCAAGAAGATGTTGCTTTATGGGATGAAGACGTCTGGGTCCCCAGCAGAAAACCAGGAAGAGAAATGAAACTGAGCTAATTCATTCTGCATTTCCATTTAAGCTGTTACCAAAAGATTTTCTAGAAACATCTAGAAACATTAGGTAATGAAACTGCATTTTTGGAGCGGGAAGGGGTGTCCTACATTGGCCACCAATCTTAATGTTAAGATTCTTTGTAAAGGAGAGTAAGGAAATGAGGATTTACCTAGTGATCTGATGCTGCGCTGAAAAGTTTGGCCCAGCTTGACAGAGAAAGATGCTGGCACTTCCTGAAACATCTTGGCACTGCCTGCAGGCTGTAAATACTACTGGCTTGGTTAGATGAACTTGGTTTCTTTCTGTGTCACTGCATTTCTCTCAATCATATACAGCCTCCACTTTGCATTTCTTGGTCTTTGGAATTTTCCCCTGTTCCAGCCTCCTGTTGGTTTAGAAGCCCCTCCTGTAAGCTGGATACTTTCATGATCTTCCTTGCACATCTTTGAGAGTAAGGGTTATCCCAGCCTCAATGTTTGACCACTATTCCCTTCCCCTCGCATAGAAAGGTTCTTTCCCTGGAGATCTTCTCTATGTCTGGCAATGTTTTAAAGCTTAAAAAGCCCTAAAAGGTTAACTCTGGAACTTTAGATGTGATGCTCTTAGAAAAAGTTCTTTATGGTGAGGGAAGACCCAAAAATTCACCAAGAACTTGAGGATGGGACCCTGATAACATCTCCTTGGTTAGTCATTTCTCATTTTTCTTCTTCCAATAATGAGGTTGTCATTTGACAGATGGAATTCTGAGCACACAACCAGGATTTGTTTAACCAGCAAAGGATTGTGTAAATTTTTAATTAGTCACTAATTCTTAGAAATTGCTCATACTTAAAAAATTTTAATTTTAAAGTTGATGTTTAGATCTTGAAATTTTGAGAATCTGGAATCTTACTTTCAATAGAATCTGAAATCTTACTTTCTCAAAAATTGGTGTGCAGGCCATTGATTTGAATGCGAGACATTCTTTCCAGAGTTTGAAAAGAGTGAATCTCCACATCAGCCTGGTCACCACTAAGCCCATTTTATCCTTTTGTGTTCATCTTCCTATACCCTACAGGCATTTGAGTTTTGTGAATTCTATTCTAATTTTTACTAGGTTGAAAATGTCTTGTAATAGAAACTTTCTCAGAAAATAATTTCTGTGAGAATTGAAAGGAATTCTGTGTTGGGTTATCAGCAGAAATAAATAAGAATGTTTTCTCCCAGGGGCTTCCCAGGTGGCACTTAAAGAACCCACATGCCAATGCAGGGAGACATGAGATGTGGGTTTGATCCCTGGGTTGAGAAGATCCCCTGGTGGAGGAAATGGCAACACACTCCTGTATTCTTGCCGGGGAAGTCCCGTGGACAGAGGTGCCTGGAGGGGCCTGGAGGGCTACAGTCCATAGGCTCACAAAGAATTGGATGCGATTGGAGAGACTTAGCCCATATGCAGTTTTCTCCCAATTTGTATATTAAGGTTAAATCTTTATTTTCTTCTGTTTCAGTAAAGACTGTATTGTTAATAAGTTGAAGAAGAATGAGAGTATTTGATTGAGTTTGTCTGGAAACTCAGATGAGGTGGTGGGTGACTAAATATCTGTGTTTGACATCACCCTTCTACTGCCAGTACTTGAGCAGTGAGTTTTCACACCTCGATACATCTGTGAGCCTGTTTCGTTTTCTTGCTAACCTCATTTCCAGCAGCTTCCAAGAGACCCATCCTTCTTTTGTTCATGTTGCTTCCTGCTGAACTGGGCTCTCAAATTCCAAAGTTAAGCTATTTTCAGTTCCCTGCTTAGGTAGATTCATTTCTAAGGCCATTAAATATCATTCTATGATGTCCAGATTCAGAGAACATTTTCTACTGACCTAAGAGAATAGACAGTTGCAAAAGTTAAAGGGCTTGGTGACATCCATCAATTCCAAAAATGATTGCTTACATATTTTTGAAGGCCACTTGCCTCATCCAAAGTGAATATCTTTGGGAAACATAAAACATCTTTCTTTGATTTGTTTTGAAAGAAAATGATTAATGCTATTAAATCAGTGATTTGAATTATGTCAGATGACAGAGTATTCCCATCTCTTGTAATTGTATTTTTCTTCAAATGGTTTTCTCTATTCACAACACTTACTCAGACCTATATGACACAGATGATTAGAAAGGAAATTGTTCTCTAGAGAGAGACTATCTTTTTAAGCTATTTGAAGGGCTCTATATTTGCCTAATAAAATATGAATCTGTATTAAAGGTGTTTCAAGGGATCATGTTGCATGAAAAAAAAGTCTTCAGATTTTTAAATTACAAGATCTTTGAAAGTCTGTTACTTATGGAACTGATTATAGGTTTAAAGATTTTTTTTCAAAGGTTGCCTAGTAGGTTTTAGAAAAACTTAAGACCCAAATACCTCTTACTAATAAGAATTCTGGTATTTAATATGATGTTAGTTGTCTCTGACTTGAGAAAAAACATTGTTCTATCAGGAGAAATTACAGTGATATTAAAATGCTTTGTGCTGGAGGCAAAGTACTCAGGACCAGTTAGGGTTCCGAGTAATGTGCTTTCATTTTTGTTAAAAACCTTTCATTTTTTCCCTGGTTGTGGAGTTGGTAATATACCTCGGGTGACACTCTTTATTATTCTGTTTCTTCTGAGAAATGCCTTCAGTTAAATAAAATGGAAACGAAAGCTACCCCCCTTTTAAAAGGAGGTATTCATGAATATGGGCAGTTAATTTTATTAAAATCTGCTAGCTGCAAAAACCCAGCCTTCTTAAAAGAGTATAAAAAACCATAAAGATGACAATCGATGCCAGAAAAGAAGGGCTTCTAAGGTGTGTTTTTTAATGACCAGACTGAAAACTGATCAGAGAGGTTGCCAAGATCCGTTGTCTCCACTCGCTGCAGGTGAGGCGTTTAATATTATGCAGAGAGCCCTGCCGGCAGGACAGAAAACTGGAGTCTTCCCTGATGGCCCGTCTGAGGTCATCTGTAAGGCTCCAATTTCTCTTCAGACTCCGGCAGGTCATTGAATGCGCTCTGTCTCCTAGAACCGCTCTGAGGAGACATTTATAGCAGATAATACTTTAGGAAGAATTTGGAAATTATTTAACAAGCTGTAAGGAAGGGAAATGGTGAGCAGGGTCTCTAAACCTCAGTGCTGTTGACAGTTTAGGCTGAATGATTCTTGCTGTCGGGTCAGTCCTGGGCATTATAGGATGGTTAGCAGCATCCCTGGCCCCCACCACCTACTTGATGCCAGTAGCACTCACCATGCCCTCCATGCGGTTGACCAGACCCAGACATGTATCGGAATACCATTCATTGCCCCTGGGGGATGAGCTGGGCACCCTGGCTGAGAACCACTGGGTAAAAGTAATGTTAAAACCTGGAGGACCTGTCAACACAAGCGTGGCCCAATCCAGACAAGAAGAGGATGACTCAGTTGAGTAAACATTTATTTGAGCACCTCCCAGGTCCTTGCTCTGGTATTACAGCTGCTGCCCTGAAACGAGGCTGAGTATTTGGCAGAGTGAGAAGGGTGATCCCACGCTGCTTGAGCAGAGGCCAGTACTCATCCTCCGATAAGTCAAAACAAGAATTGAAATGGTGTGAGGAGCAGGTTGTTGGGTGGATCACCGTTTGCTCTCCAAAACAAGAGATGGCATTCTCTTTCCATAATGGGAAGACTTTGCCTATTGAAAAAAGGGAAAGAAAAGAAGAAAGCAAGCAGGTAAAAATCACTCATAATTCTGCCAACCACAGAAAACTGTTTTCCAACGTTTTTGGAATGTGTGTGAGTTTCCCTGGGGACTCAGTGAAGAATCTGCCTGCAATGCTGGAGACACACGAGATGAGAGTTCGATCCCTGGGTTGGAAAGATCCCCGGAGGAGGACATGGCAATCCACTCCAGTATTTTGGCCTAGAGAATCCCATGGACAGAGGAGCCCAGGAGGCTACAGTCCATGGGGTCACAATGAGTCAAAATGATGAGCAGTTAACACTTTCACTTGGAATGCATGTAACAAGAATCTATGTGTATAGGCTTACATTTCTGTTTTGTTTCGGACAAAAATGTGATGATGCTATCCATTTATCTTGAAATTTTTTTCACTTCATGTATTGTGAACATTTTTTTCTTTTTTCTTTTTTTCTGTATTTGAAAGTCGCTCAGTCATGTCCGACTCTTTGCGACCCCATGGACTATACAGTCCATGGAATTCTTCAGGCCATGATACTGGAGTGGCTAGCCATTTTCTTCTCCAGGGGATCTTCCCAGCCCAGGGATCGAATCCAGGTCTCTTGCACTGCAGGCAGATTCTTTACCACCTGAGCTACCAGGGAAGCCCAAATTTCTGTATTTAGACCCAGATTATCTTTTGGAATAGGTGCATAGTTCTCTGTTAGTAGTTACCAACCTGTAGTGGCACCACTCGCCACTAGGGGGCATTTGGAAGTGTAGGTTTAGATGGGGGTAGTTATTGTCAAAATGGTTAGGGGGTTCCAGTCGAATTTTGATGGGTAGGGGCTTGGGATGCTAAACATTCTGAGAAGTACCAGGCGATCCTGCGCAAAGGAGAATTGATCCCTCCCAAATGCCAGGAGCACAACCATCAGACAGCCCTGAACTGAAAAGTTATTTTGAACATAC